GTGGACAGTCATTTCATTGGTACCAGGCCACATTTTCACCAAGATTTCACCTTGTTTCTTGGAGAATGCCAAGTTCTTTGGTCCTCTTTTAGTGTGAAGTCTGCTCATAAGTGCCCTCTGGAGGCAAGCAAGGGGAAGTACAACTTAACAACTGTGTGAACTTTTCCTGGGGAGTTTAAGTATCTACTTACCCCAAACAGGGCACCAGCAACAAACCAAAGTAAGGATTACACAAAAGTTCAACCTGGAAAACCAATAAGCATATTCATATTACTTACTTCAGTGTGAATAATCTCCAAAAATCATCAAAAAGTCCCTCCAGGATGGCTGACTTCCCCATAGCTGTGTAGGGGAAGGTCTCTATGACTCCACCCCCACCCCCACATCCCCCCACCCCCACCCCCACCCCCACAGCTAACCTCTCACATTCTACACCCTCTCTCACCTCCCAAGACTAGACCAGGGGACCAGATGCTGCTGGGACAGAATTCCATGTAGCTGAGGGGGGCTTTATAGAAAGGAATCTCGGCAGGATTGCTAGACCCCTCCTGTGAAGGACTGGCAACCGGCCTATCTTCAGGATTTGGTGTTACCACTGCTCTGATCAAGATGACAATGGCTATTGGGCCCTGGGGGACAGTGTGCTGGTTAGTTTGTCAACACAAACTTGAGTCATCTTTTAAGAGAGAATGTCAATTGAGGCATTTTCTCCATCAGACTGGCCTGTAGGCATATCTGGGGTGCTTGATGGTTGATGTGGGCGGGCCCAGCCTACTGTGATTGGTGCCACCCTGGGCAGGTGGTCCTGAATAGTAAAAGACAGGTATCTGATTAAGCTAGATGGGCCAAGCCAGTAAACAGCCTTCTCCCGGGGTCTGTGCCTCCCCTGATGATGGACTACCAAACGTAAGAAGAAATAAACCCTTTCCTCTCCCAAGTTGTTTTTGGTCAGTGTTTTACCACAGCAGCAGAAAGCCAGCCAGGACATACTGCACTCAATTACACAGGCATTAACTTGTCTGTGCTATAAGAAACTAGGTTAGACAGAGGAAGACAAAGGTCCTTGATCAGCGTCTCTGTTGGCAGTAGTCAAAGGGAGGGGGGTCAGAGAGTTGTCACCAAACAATGGCAGAATGGCTCAGACAGGATAAGAAATTGGCAACAGAAAATCTAGTCACCTGCAGGGCCCTATTTTGAGGCTTAGTCATGCTTAGCTATGAGATAAACCCTAGGTTGGCTGCTTTCAGACCTGACTGCATTAAGGTCTCTTGGAGAGTTTTGGGAAGAGCTCCAGCAGCAGTGCTGCACCCCAAATCTAGATCTTAGATGCTGGAGGGTCTGAGCCCGCTAGCAGATGGAATAGGTCAGTAAAGGCACATCTCACCATGCACCTCTCTATTGTAAATGACCTGGAATTACCTACCGCTGTTTTATAAAAATTCACATGACACAATAAAATTGCTTGTAATGTGTTTGTTTTTTCAAGTGGGTTGACAAGTCAGGACAAAGACATAGCAGATAAAATGAAGCCACTTTGGAAAATGGCCACACTGTGGGGAAGACTAGGCATCTTGTTTTAGGGTGAATAAGGCAGCTCTGACCCTGATTCCAATCAAAGCAGAGAGGGAGGAGGGAGGGGAGAAAGAGACAGAGAAGGAGCTTGCTTGTTTCCTGCCAAGTGTGTCCTCACATGGTGACTTCTGGGAAGTGCAGGGACAGTTGCAGTGGAACCCTTTTCACTTGCTTTTTTATTTGGGATTTTGAGCAGGGTCAAAGCTGCTCACTCATTCTGTTGCCCAGGCTAGCTTTAGACTCATGGTACTCCTCCTGCCTCAGCTGTCCAAACGTGAGGTTTTAAGACTTGTATCTGCCCCTTGGTCAGAATGGAGTACACCCCACACCGCCGGCCTTGAGGCTCACTGGCTGAGGTATCAGAGCTTTGTGCATTGCCCTTACACCGATGGATGAGAGCCCGGCTCACTGTGGCAGAGAGCATTGATGCCGTGGTGATGAGTCACCTGGGAGTTTGCAGCAGCTGGGAAACAGCTGTCTAAAGATAGAACCCCAAAAGCTTTTATCTGAAGCATGTGTAGAAAGGGCCTTTATAGAGCTGATTAATAACTATGAAATGGAACTACTTTGTATTATCTAGGTGGGTAATGCCACCAGTGGTACCTCTTAAGGAGAGCAGAGGGACCCTTGATTGGATGGAGACTCGTATGATGCTGGCCAGTTATAAACCAGAGAGTGTGCACAGCACCTGTCTCTACAGCAATGTGCTCCCCCTTAGCACCTCCAGGGGGTGTACAGCTTAGGGAACACACACACCAAACTGCTTAGGCTCCCTGCCTGCCTTCCTTATGCAGGAATGAGCATGTCCTAAGCCTCCTAGCTGCAGGCACCTGGTATAGATTCCTGGGCACCTCCATGTTCTCTGATAGCTCATCATCAGAGAGAGAACATTATTTAACCCAACACTGTCCTCACCTTCCACACTGAAAATACTTCCTGAGCTACTCCCAAGATCCACTGAAGTCATCGGGTTTCTGCTGGTCATTATGGGTAATTCATAAACCGTAACTGTAATGCCCTTAACATTTCCTGCCACAACTCAATATGACATGCACCCATTTATCAAATGGAGTAGGCAGGTCAGGTCCTATTTCACGTTCCAGGTTCTGGCTTTGGTGTTCCTTCTTTGTTGATGCTTCAGAAGCCAGTATTTAACTTTAAGCTAGAAATACTTCCCTTCACAGTATTTTCTCACTTTGTAATGAAGGCTGTGGGTAGGCACGAGTCACACTGTTAACTGTCAGAGGTCCCAACAAAACGTTCACTTCCTTTCATCACTGCTGCCCTCAGAGACAGACTCATACCGAACCTGGTTCTAGTCACCTGATTTCTCTACTTATCAAAACTCTTTCTGGTCTCCCTTCCCTGCATTGTATTTGAAGAACGGTAAATTATTCTTTCTTAACAAAGAAATACAGACCTTCAGAGACCGGCCACTAGGCTACAGATGGGTAGAAGTGTCCATCAGACCAAGAAAAGGGACCTTGATCTTGTCAATTCTCTGGTGTGACTCAATACACACCCATTAACCACTTGGTGGTTTCATCATTATCTGATTAATGTAGCCTTGCAAATATCTAAAAATATCCTCTTTCGGGCCCCTATGTGCTATGCTGTCTTCCCAGTTTGGTTCAAAGAGCTCCGGACACTGGTAACAAAGAGCATTTGTCCAATGGGCTGTGCTGACTGCAGCACTCTCATGAGCAGCATGGTCTCTCTTAGCATTGAAAACAAGAGCTAGCAGTGGGCTCTTGTTTGTTCCTCTGAGACAGGGTCAGTCTATGTGGACCAGGCTAACTTCAAACTCTCCATCCTCCTGAGTGCTGGGATTACAGGGAATATAATACTTGGCTTCAGCCTGTTTAGCATTGTGGTCACCAGGCAGGTTTTCCTGGAATGTGCTTTTCCTTCCTTCCTTCCTTCCTTTCCTCTCTCCCTCCCTTCCTTACTTTATTAATATTTAGTGTGTTAACTTGCAGAAGCTGCTTCTCTCCTTCCAATATGTGGGTCTTGAGGATTGGAATCAGATGGTCAGGCTCTGCAGCAGATCCTTTATCCTCTGGGTCATCTCACCAAATGTGTGTTTTAATAAATCATGTGCAAGGCCCTGTGCCCAACCCAGGACTGTAAAAACCCAAAACCAATGAACAAAACCGACCACACAAACAAAAGGTCAGAGCAAAATGAAGCTAACAACTGTAGTCTAGGGACAGGTGTGCATTTTTACTAAGACTTTACAACATATTTGTCTTTCAAGGTTTCCATTAAAAATGCTGAAAAACATTAGGGACTGTTAGCTGACAGCACAGAGATGAACCTCTGGGTTTGAGTGTAGGGAAAGCCCCTCTCCTCACATGCCATTCCATTGGTCTGACTGCTCTGACCTCTTCTTTGGTTGGCCCATAGGACCTCAGACATGTTAGGCAAGTGTCTAGCACTAAGCTACAACCCAGCCCTTTCTATGTTGAGGCAGGGTCTTGCTAAGTTGCTCAAACCAACTTTGAACTCACTGTGCTGCCCAGGCTGGCCTGGAACTTAGTCTCTTACCTCAGGCTGGAGTAGTTGGGATTACAGTGTGTACCATCACACCTGACTCTAATTTCTTGTTAAAAGTTCTTTGAGTACCACTCTCAGTACTCAGAAGACAGAGGCAGGAGAAGATGCTGAGCTCAGGTATTTGAAAACTGGTATGGATGAGACATGAAACCTTGTCTAAAACAGGAAGCGGATTAAATAGATGGGGTGGGGCTACTGCTATATCCATTTTTAACAACAGCTTTTTTGGGGGGGGGATATAATTCACCTCTAGGTTGTGCCATTTAGGGATTTTTTTTCTGATTTTGGTGGTCCCCATAATCAACTAATCTCTTTCTCTCCCCCTCTCTCTGTCTCTCATCTATCATCTATCTATCTATCTATCTATCTATCTATCTATCTATCTATCTATCTATCTATCGGTTTTCTGAGATAGGGTTTTTTTATGTAACAGTTCGGACTGTCCTGAAACTCACTTTGTAGACCAGGCAGGCCTTGAACTCACAGAGATCCACTTGCCTCTGCTTCCTGAGTGCTAGGATTAAAGGTGTGCTCCACCATGCAATATATTTGAACACCTAGTTTCCAGTTGGTGAAGAATTCAGAGGTGTGCCCTTGTTGGAGGAGGGTGTGTCACTGGGGGTGGGCTTGGTTTCCAAAGACTCCTATGATTCTCAGTGCTCACTGTGCTTTCTGCTTGTGGATCAAGATGTAAGCTCTCAGCTGTTCCTTCTCTCTGCCATCATGGACTCTAACCCTCTGAAACCATAAATCGAATTAAATACTTTCCTTTATAAAGTACCCTAGTCATGGTGTTTTATCACAGCATTCCAGAAATAATTAAGATAATTGGTTATTTCTGGCTCAGGCAATTCAAAAGATGATCACAGTTACTGAATCAGAAATGTATAAAAATTTTATTTATTCTGAAAGACTACTTAAAAGTGCTTCTGTCAGAAAAAACACAAAATATGATTTTTAAGCCAGCAATGTAATATTTAAAGGATATAAACACACCAAAGGAATCGAGCTGATGGAACCACGGTGCCTGCCCGTGTGTCACTGTAGTGCTCTTAGCCTTGTGTCTAGGTGGTTCAGATCTTCCTGGGGGTGTCTGGGTGGGTTCAGGAATCCCCAGGCTTGATTTCACTCACAGAAAGTAGAGACTTGCTTTCTCTTGTGCTTTCTCTTCTTCGGTAACTGGTTCTGCCACAGAGAGTGAAGAATAAAGCTGCAGACAACAGAGGAAGACTCTGAAGGGCCTGTTCTGATCACTATGGAGGACTCAGGGGAGTCTGAGGCAAGGTCTCTCCTGGTGTAATTTCAAGGAGACAGACAGAACAAAGTACAAGATAACACAACAGGCTACCAGCTCTATAGTGGATTCTGAAGACTCACAAGCTGATTTTCCTGCCTATAAATTACAGCAGACAGCCAGATATACAGATACACCGAGGAAACACAGCTTTGGGTGACCTAGGGTAGAATTTGGAAGGCAGCTGCTGTGAGGTGCCAACTGGGTAGAAGAGCCAGGATGGAGTGTGGAGAGGTGTCTCTTCTCAGGAGTGAATGTGGCACTCTGTAGAACAACGTAGAAACCAGTAGCAGCTGGAGTGTGGGCACTCAGGATGGAGGACCACACTAATCTTACGTTCACCAAATATCAGGCATAGGACAGGACCCAGCACTGGGCAGAGGAGAGGGATCTGGGAGTAGTAGGGGACTAGAATTCCAGCACCCTCAGGGAAGCAGGTCTGAGAAACAGACCATGAGGTACATAGATGCAGTAGCCCCAGTGACGATTAGGACTGTGGAGCAGGATGTGGAAAGGGCTGTTCACAAAGGGCAAGGCAGGTAAAGCAGCAGCTCAGACACAATGTCCAAAGTAGAGCTATATACACAGGCACATGAAGGAGGGAAGACAGGCCTAGCAACGCAACGGCAGAAGGAAGATGAGGGGGCTCAAAGCACCTCCTCATGTGGAGGAATGGGGCCCACAGGTCAGAAACAGTCCCAAAGGGAGTTGCACACAGCAGATAACAAGACAAGAGAATGAAGGAATAGCATGGACGACAGAAGAGGGCTTGCCAATGAAGGACAAACTGAAGGAACCTATAGCTACTGCACTCTCAACACAGGGAGACTGGCTGAAGAGAAGTGTGGAGGGTTCAGGTCCATAGATAGGAGAGTTCTCACTCAGAAGCCACTTAATGAGATCACATGACCAGCAGAGACTACCCACTCAAGAACTGAACCTTGTGTAGACACTGGACTTGGCAGGCAAGGTGGAAGACAGGAAGCATAAGCATTTTGAGGGCCTGGCAGAGAATCACTCAGCAGCTTTCTTCATGGTTCATGTGTGGTCGAGAGATGGCAGGACAAGTCAGAAAAAGAGGGATTGGAATCTGGAGGGGAAGAGACAGGGAGACAGGAGTTAAGAGGGAAGGAGAAGAGCATCTGGAAAAGGCAGCAGCCAGCTATCAATGAATGCATGGAGTCAGATCCTGTAAGCTCAGCAAGGGCCAGAGAGGGCTAGACTATGAGGACAGGTGGGGAGAAGTGATAGGAGTCAAGTGAAGGACACAGGGAGCCCAGCACCCCAGTCCTCCTGGAAGATAGAGGGCATGAAGCAGAGGGATGCAAGGGGAAAGTCCATATGCAGCACCACCTCAGCCACACTACCCTGCCATCTAGTGGAAGAGGACCCATGTCTGACAGATTTTCATGGAATGCTGGCCTCCAGGAATGACACAGCCACTGTCCTCAATTCTCAGCATCAATGACTACTCACATTGAGATAGGCCTTTTAACATTCAGTCACGCAGAGAGGTTCACCAGGCCCTATCCCTCCCCAGCAGTTAATAGATGCTGAGGAGACTTTCCTTGGTGGCATAGCTGCCTAGCAAATTGCCATGTACCTGTCAGTAATCCCAATTCATGGGACTACTTGGGTGGAACCATTTCTTTGGTTTGTTGTTGGTGCCTCATGTGGAATAATAAGTAGATGAGATTATTCATGTCTCCCAGGAAAAGTTATTTCATGAGAGACTATATATTTCCAGTACCTTCAGAAGTCCTGAGATTTGTAGACTGCACAGTCGCTGCCCACATCCCACTCCATCCTCTGGAAGAAGTAGACCATGATGCTCTCCAGCAGCAAGCCACTCAGCACAGCCAGCAGGGAGAGCCTGCGGTTGGTGTTCAGAGTCACTAGAAAACAAAGGTGGCAGGATGTCCTAGGAACTCCTGAGACATGACACCAGTGCCTGTGTGCTGCATGGTGATGAGAACTGAAAATTCCTATGTTGTGTGATGTTTTACTCTTTTGGCTTTTTGGACAGACATTTTGGAGGACCAGCCACCCAGCTCCCAAATAAATCACACACAGAGGCTTATTCTTAGTTATGAGTGCCCGGCCTTACCTTGGCGCGTTTCTTGCCATTTTTTTTTTTTAAACTTAAATTATCCCATCTATTTTTGGCCTGGGGCTTTTTATCTTTCTCTAGTATTGTATACCCTTTCTTTCCTTCTTACTCCATGTCTGGCTGTGTAGCCGGGTGGGTGGATAGCTAGTCCCTGAAGTCCTCCTTCTTCCTCTCTCGTTCCCAGATCTTTTTTACCAGATTTCTCCTCATATTTATCCTCTTTGCCTGCCAGCCCCACCTATTTCTCTCTCCTACCTCTTTATTAGACCACCAGGTGTTTTAGACAGGCACAGAAACACAGAGTTAAACAAATGCAACATTAACCAAAGTAATATTTTGTCTAAAATATTAAACACCTTAAAATAATATTCCCCAACACTGCTACATGAAGCTGATTTGAGGAAACTCACCCTGTTCTACATGTCCTATAACAAAGTCTCTGCTTCTAACACAAGCATCAAGTTCTTCTCAAAGAGGCAGAAGCCCATGAAATAAGAAAATGAAGCTCGATGTGGTGGCCCTTGCCTGTCATTCCAGCACGTGGAAGGTTCCTATAGATGGACTGCAAAGAGTTTAGGGGCAGCTTGGTCTACATAGGGAGACAGTCTCCAAACAACCACGACCATCCAACTTGAAGGTTTAAAGAGACTAACAGAAAGGACGTTGTACTTGCAGCATCACAGTTCAGGAAGAGCAGCATTGTGACAAGAAGTCCAGGCAGCAGCTTCATTCACAAAGTGCTTTTCATAGTGCCTAAAAAGTGAAGACTCATCTGGCAGGCGGGAACTGTCTTCATATGGGAGGCAGGCACCTGGCATTTTCTCTTGGCTAGACAACTGCTCAGTCTTGTAACTTTAGACAAGCCATTTACTCATCACAGCCCCTTAAAGCCATTCATAAAGTGGAGATGAGGCCTAGCCCATAGGAGAGATGGTCTGGATATGATCCTAAGTGTCTGCTGTGTGTAGTCCATAGACACACTCAGGACCAACATGGGTCTGTGGAGAGCTCATGTTCGGCAAGTCTCATGCTCTAGGGCCAGGACTTCAGCCTTCCATAAAGGCTGGAAGCTATCACGTCAAATAAAAGCCACACACTCACCTCTGATTGCCTGGAAATTCGATGTCAGGACAAATACTTTAATGAGCCTGAGGCACAAAGGTGTGTAGTCATGTTCCCAGATGACAGCTGGGATTAGCAGGAGTTTCCCATAGCTGGACAACAGCAGCGCTTTCAGTAGTAAAACAAAGTTGGGCTTTTTTTTTGTTGTCATGGGTAGCTCTACCCACAGGAAAGCAAAAATGCCAGCAAAAAAGGCAGCTTGTTCTATGGAGCAAATGAGAGAAATACAAATGTCTTACCCAAATCTAACCCCTGAAAAACAAAAGAAATCCTAATTCCAACACAGAACTCATCTGATGTCATAAGAAACACCTTAATACCACCAGTATCTTTTACACACATGCACAGGCTTTGTGTTAAATCCTGCTGGCATGATTTAAGAAAAACATTTCAAAATAGGTTTTAGTTTTCTTTTGGGGATGGGGTGAGGTGCCTTGCTATGGTGTCCAGGTTGGTCTCAAACTTCTGACCTTACTACAACAAAAAGTTCTGGGATCAGTTGGGCAGCAGTGATACACACCTTTGATCCCGGCACTCAGGAGGTAGATATAGACAGATCTCTGTGAGTTCGAGGCCAACAACAACAACAAAACCAAAACCAGTTCTGGGATCCTATCTGGGATTATAGATGTGAGCCAGAAATCATGAGAAAGCTTTGCTTTAAAGCCTGAAATGATGTTATATTTTAGCTCTTGGGCTGGGTGAAATGCTTGAGTCTCCCTCCCTCCCACCCCCCGCCCCAGGTTTAATTTAGTTTTAATTATCTGTGCCTGTCTGTGTGTGGGTAGATGTACATGAGTACCAGGTCTGTGGGGGTCAGAAGAGGGCATCTGATCCCCTGAAGCTGGAGTTACAGGTATCTGGGAGACACCCAGTGTGGGTGCTGGGACCAAACTCTGGTCCTCTGCCAGATATTAACATGCTCTTACTGAGCTATCTCTCTAGTTCCCTTGAGTATTTTTTAATATTACTGTCTGTAAGATATAAATGGTAATAAATCCTGTGCATTTCAAGTTTTAGTTAGACTGACAATACACATCCACATTAAATATTTTAAAGTTGCAACGAAGTTCAAATTATATCTTAAATACAGATTAAATATGTATTATGGTATTCAAATAGTTATAAATCCAAGTAAACAAATCACAATCCATCCTTGATTCTAAGCTCCCAAAAGGAGAGAACAGTGTTTTGTGGGTTTTTTTTTTCCTTTGAAAATGAATACAGAATAGTTCTCCCCCTCCACCCTGCCCCCCCCCAGAATAGTTCTTAAGTAAGCCATCAATACTGTACAGTGAATGAGTAATCCCAGTCTAACTGATGGGACATGCTCAGGTCCATCTGCATGTAACCCTTCATTTAGCTACTCAGACAGATGTCTACTGAGCAGTCATGATAGGCCAAACACTCACTGGGTTTAATGTAAGTGGGTGAAGGCAAATCAGTAAGAAGTTAAAAATAAACACAACACTTGTATTAGGTGAGATGGTGTGTACCTTAGAGAGGCACAGCACAGCAGGACAGGAAATAGGGCTGTCAGGGAAAAGGTAGAAGTGTTATCAGGATAAGTGTCACCAAGATGAGATTGAAGCCAAGATCCCAGAGAGATGAGTAAGTCAGATATGGGGACATCATGGACAAGCACTGGAGAAAAGAGAAAAGCCAGGTCAAAGGCCATCAGCTGGAGGCTCACTGAATGTGCCTAAAGTACCTGGGTTGGAGTGAGCTTGAGTGGTCGCAGAAAGTGCAATGAGATCTATGGGGAGGAAGGAACTTGTCTCCCTGCAAAGACTGTCAGTGTACAGAAAGCAAGAAAGAGCTACATGCAGATCCATACATGGGCACTGGGTTTATCAGAAAGGCAACATCTTGTATGGAGAAGAGACCAGGTCTGAGTCATGTTATTCTAGCTTGTATAAAGTCTCAGCCAGATATGGAGGCAATGGGAAGCAGGTGTAGAACTATTCTGAAGGTAGAATGAATGAGGCTTTCAATGACTGAGCTGAGGGCTCCAAAGAAAGAGGTTTCAGGCAGGAACCCAAGGTCTTTGATCTTGGCAACCTGCAGTGGGAGGCTATAGGCAGAGGCAGAGCAAGACCAGGCTTAGAGATGGCAACTTACTAGATGTCCAGTAGGGCTGGATAAGAAGCAGGTAGACACAGGGTCTAGAGGTCAGGAGAAAGGTCTAGGTCAGATGGGGATACCTGGGAGTTCTGAGCAGATCCATGAGATGCAAGGGTGAGTAGGGATGAGGGCAGACAGAGAGAGCAAAAGTAAGCAAATGGTCCAGAATATGATGTGGAAGGCATCATACTCAGAGAATTCCTGAAACAGTGACTCACGATTAGCTGAAGGGCTATTTTTATTTTATTTTTGAGATGGAGTCTCATTGTGTTGCCAAGACTGGCCTCAAAGCTTCTAGATTCCAGCAACCCTTCTGTCTCAGCCTACAGAGTAGCTGGAAGTACAGGTATATGCCATAGCCTGGCTTAAGTCAAAGGCCTCTGAAGAAGGATGGAAACTAAAAATAAGTTGTCACAGAAATTAACTGAGTGAAATTTGGACCCTAGAAAGCCATGGATTTCAATTTCAATAAAAGGCGCTTTCCACACATAGGTAAGTTTGGGGAGGAGTCAACTTCCTTGGATGCAGTCCCACTAGCAGCAAACTTAATGTCAGACATCTACACGAAGCAGCCTAATACACTGCGAAATATCAGGCAATAATTAACGTGTTTTCAACAAAAAGACTGACACAATCTTCAAGGTGGACAATAAGAACTTAAAAACAGTTTATTTTTACAAAATATCCTAGTCTGATAAATATACTATTATTATTTTTCTACCATATATTTAAAGCAAAGCAAGAAGATGATTCAGACAAACTCCCCAGGCAAGTTAGTGTCAGAGCTGAAGATGTGGTCTCCAGTCCTGTATTAACTGTCTTACCAGTGTCTTAGCTTTAATCAGAGCAGCAAGTTGTTAGTTAGCATCTGCTTACCGAAAGAAGCAATCACAAACATCCTGTAGAAATCCCACTCCTTGGCATATCGGATCAAGTCATCTGGGGCTGTGTTCTGGCTTGAGTCTTGCAGCTGCCACCACCTCAGGTATGCTTCACAAAGCAAACAAAACATGCAGAGTTTCCCATGGATCTGACAGTCAAAGACAGTGTCCTTGGTCAGGTAAAGCATTCGGTTGACTGAACACCAACAGGCACACCGAAGCTAAGCAGCTGTAGGGTCTATTCTGTTTTTTTGAGATAAGGTTTTGCTATGTAGCCAAGGTTGGTCTGAAACTTCTGATAGCCCTCCTGTCTCAGCCTTCTGAGTACTAACTGCTCAGTAGTTGTACTAATACCCCATGTGGATTTTTCAACATTATTAACTAGCTAATTGCATTAGTTATATAAGTCAGAAGTTCTTAAAAGCAGTGTCTATAGGAACCCCATTGGGAATTCTAAACTTGGACCATCAGAGGACCCAGTCTGGAGTCAACTTTTTAGGAGTAAAACCTGGACAGGTGTATTTTGCAAAATTCCTGGAGACACCCTAATGTGCATCCCTAGCTAGGAATCATTGCTCCTAACAGTTCACCTCTCATCCACACATAGCCAAACACAACCCTTATGTGACTGACACGAATGAAAAAGTCAGAAGAGAATGAATTTAATCTAAAGGGTTTTTTGTTGGCTCCCCCCCCCCAAAGATTTCTCTGTGTAGCCCTGGCTGTCTTGAAACTCACATTATAGACCAGGCTGACCTCGAATCTACCTGCCTCTGTTGGAATTGAAGGTGTGCACCACTATGCCCAGTTAATCTAAAGATTTCAGGACACCACATAAACTATTAGTCTGAAAAGGAATTAAAAAAAAAAAAAAAAAAAAAAAAGAGCCTCTGGCTGAATGAGTATTAGGTCAATGAAAGCGGAAAACAAAACAAAAATCAAACCAAAACAACAAAAAAAAAAATATGATAGAAATAAGATGGAAGCTTCTAAGAGCCTAAAATTTTTAACAAAATAGAAAACACTAAATGGTAAGAATTGGCCTTTCCCCAATCTATCTTTCCTGCAAACTGAGCTTTCTCCAGTAATTTATGGTGGGTACGAGAAAGCAGGTGTGTGACCCTGACCTGACCTGAGTTTGAGATTCTGAGGTTCCTCAGCTGGCACAGGTCCTTTGGTTACACTCTGGAAACATCTGGGGAGAGGTGTATGCCATCCACAAAAATGCTGAGTTGGCCTGGGGAGGTCTTCTGTACCCCACCCAAGAAATTTTCAATGGGTAAGCAAGTTTGAAAATGGACACTGTGGTCACTTAAAAGGGCTTGACTGGGTTGGAGAAATGGCTCAGTGGTTAAGAGCACTGGCTGGTCTTCCAGAGGTCCTGAGTTCAATTCCTGCAACTACATGGTGTCTCACAACCATCTATAGTGGGGTCTGATGCCTTCTTCTGGTATAAAGGCATACATACAGATAGAGCACTCATACACATAAAAATAAAATCTTTTTTTTTTTTTTTAAAGTCTTGATTATTTGAGGGGCACACCACTGCACCATTTACTTCTGCCCAAACTTAGTGGTGCCAGATTAAGCAAATAAGAACTTATATCCAGTTAAATTTGAATTTTAGATTTGCAACAAATAATCTGTCCTAAGTGTATTGCATGCAATAATCAGGACATACTGAATTCTAGAACATCTGCACCATTTATCCAAGTTTCAAATTTAACTTATGTCTTGCATTTTACTTGTCAATTCAACCCAAACTATGAAGCCATTTACAGTGCAGTATGTCAAGTGCACATTTTGAAAAATCCAACCTTAAATATTAGCAGCTCTCTGACTTGGTATTCATTTCCTGCATTCTTTTTTGCTTTGATTTTCAAGACAGGGTTTCTCTGTGTATCCTTGGTCATCCTGGAACTTGCTCTGTAAACCAGACTGGCCTCAAACTCAGAGATCCTCCTGCCTCTGTCTCTTGAGTATTAGGATTAAAGGTATGGGATACCACCAGCCGGCTCCTGCATTTTTTAAACAGCAGATTGTAAAACACATTAAAGCATATCTTTAAAAATAGTTTTCTTTTAATGTTTGCTTCCTAAATGTAGGTATGACTGTCTCCTATAGGCTTTGTGTACTCAATTGTCAAATTGATTAGATTAAAAAACACCTAGGGCATTAATAAGGTACACTTTTAATTTGTCTTACAGATGTTTGCAAAAAGGACTAACTAGGAGGGAAGACTGAATGTGGGGAGCACTATTCCACTGGCTGGGCCCCTGACCTGGAAAAGAGGTGAAAACAGAAAGCCAAAACCCTGGCATCCCCTTTCTCCATCTCCTGATGTGCTATAAGCAGTCCCACCCTTTCATTGACATGCTTTCCCCATCACAATGGACACAACCTGTAAGCCCAACTGAAGCTGCTGCTTTTCAGGTATTAGGTCCCAGCAATGAGGTATAACTATGTACCTATCCAGATATGTTTATTCTGCTCAAAGTCATTTGAGAGGTGATTCAGATTATAGTTATCTGCTTCTTGCTGTGACCACATTCTTGAATATAGTCACTAAGCACTGCAGTCTTTTAAATTTGTATCTACTACTTCTAAAAAACTTCCAGACATGAGTGAAAAAAAAAATCCCCCAGTTAGAATTAGTATATATTCCTTAATTCTGCTTGAAACTGTTATTTCTTTTAAGAGCAAAAGCATCAAGTAATGTTAAAATTTTGAAAAACAAGGTTGGAGAGTAGGTTTGGCAGTTAAGAGGGTGTATTGCTTTTGCACATGACAGGGATTGTGTTCCCAGCACTCATGAAAGGAGGCACACAACTGCCTGTAATTCCCGCTTCAGCTTCAAGGGAACCTGTAATCAAGTGCAAATACCCTTCCTCCTTCAACATACACACAGAATTGAAAAAAAAAAAATTAAACTACCTCAACTTACATTTATTTTAGTGTTGAAAAGAATATGTCGATAGGCCTGGGCTTTGCATAAAATGGCATTAATCAAGATAATAACAGGATCATACTCAATATATTTGTCTACTGGTTTCTGGCAAGATTTCTGAAAAAAACAACAACAACAAAATAATATTAGAGCAAACAAATTAATACATTCTGAAACTTTAAAGGACTTGAAAATTGGAGTCTGTTTTAGACTTTCCCAGTGACAAGATGTATAAGCATCTATTTGAAATTCTCAGATTAAAAATGTTCACCCATGTAAGAAGTTTTGCAATGACTAAATATTAGCTTCTACTAGAAACACTAATACTTTAAATTTATATTCAAGAATCCAAAAAGAAAGCCAGGTGTGGTAACACACAACTGTAACGCCAGCATTTAAGCCACAGAGGTGGGAGGATCCTGAGTTTGAGGTCAGCATACTCTGAATAGAGAGATCCTCAAAAACCAAAACAAAGTAGAAAAAAAGAATTTGATTTAAAGACCCACAGCAGGCACAAGAGTACTTCAACTTCACTTTTGGTTTATACGATTTTTTTAAATGCAAATCTCTAACACACTTTGGCTGACAGGCTGTAGTAAAGACCGTGGCTCAGGATTTGGAGGAAGGTGTTCAACAAAGTTCCTATGTCCCAGCTTCTGAGAGCTACAGCTGAATGAATGTCAAGTACAATGTCAGTGATCCTAAGCCTGGGCTTTTCTCCAATAACATCAAGAACCTGGGGGGAAAAGGTCTCTCTCTGCTACCACAGAGACAGTGGAGAGTGCTGTGCTGTGTGTATTTACTTGGGTTGTACAGCCTGGTTATGTGTCACCCAAATCAAGACTCTCTCAGCTTCCAAAGTGGACATTCTGAAAGACTGACAGAATAAAATAGAAACTGAAATAATAGGCACACAAACATACCAGGATCACCTATTAGCTACATCAAAACCTAGAAGAAAAGTCAAGTGCATTGGAGAATTGTAACCCTGTACTTCAACATAATAAAACAGATTCACTTTCACCTAGAAGAAAATCTGTATTTCATTCATGCCATTGTAAGAAATAACATGCTTTTCCAGCTACCAGGTGAAACAGTAGTTGTGCTATTCCCTCAAATGTCAATCTATCTGTCAAAATGGAGGCACAGAGGTTCACATCTTTTTCAGATTACTGGAGTTCAGGACAAAGGTTCTTTCCCAGATTCCCCTTCTTTTGTCACTGCTGTGGAGCCTGCCTCCCCATATCGTGCATGAGGTTCAAGCCCAGAGATGCAACATTATCGTTAAAAACAAAACAAAACAAAATCCATTAAGTTGCTACATCCCTCTCTCTGTCTTTCAAAAGCTATCTAAATCCCACTTTTGGAAAGCATCCCTCCTAATTTAAGATTAGGAGGTAGCCATTTTTGGAAGCAGAAGGGAAGAACCAACATCAATAAACACAGAGCTCAGCATCATTTGTTAGCCAGAAGCCCGTGTAGTGCAGGGGATGTTACGAGATCACAAGAGCTCGCCTTCCCCAGAGCTTCTAGGGCTCCAAGAAGCTAATTACCAGGAGCCACACTATTCTCTAACCTCCGAGTTAGTAGGGCAAGAAAGCGTGGTACCACGCCTTCTGAAGACTGGTACAATGAGATGATGCTAATGACCCGAAACCAAATAAGCTACTTTTAGTACCAAGTGGCATGCTGTGTGCTGCCCACCCTCCTTCCATAGCACCCAACTGACAGGGAGATCACTTAAGCCAGTTGACTTTCTCCACCAGTGGGTTCTGCTCACTCTTCCCTCAGCACCCCTCTCTACTCTTTCCTCTTGCCTTCACTTTGAACACAAGGAGGAAATAACTCTCTCTCTCTCTCTCTCTCTCTCTCTCTCTCTCTCTCTCTCTCTCTCTCTCTCACACACACACACACACACACACACACACACACAGGCAGCAGAACAACTAACTGGAAATTTACTAACTTTAGTAAAAAAAAAAAAAAAAATTGAGGCAGGGTCTCTGAGCCAGGCTGGCCTCAAAATTATTGTGTAGGGGACTAGAGAAATGGCTCAGTGGTTAAGCTGTTCTTGCAGGGACCTAGGGTTCATCTACCAGTACACACATACCTGCTCACAGCTTTGAACGTCTGGTCCTCCTGCCTCCACCTCTCAATTGCAGGGATTACAGGTGTGTACCACCATGCCTCAGGGGTTTATGTAGTGCTGGAGATGAAATCTAAGGTTTCATGCATGCCAAGCAAGCACCCTACCAAGTGAACAACATCCCTGGCTGCAGTGAATGTTTTTCTATTTTGGTTAAATTGTTCCATTCCGTAATTTATTACTTAATCGACAAGTACCCCGAAAAGACACAGTTTTCTTCGAAGATATCTCTACAGCATCAGACCTGAAACATCGCTTCCATCTCATCAACATGTGAATGACACGCTTCCTGCTACAAAGTGAATCGCATCGCTCTCCATCACTCATTCATTAGTTTGAGACAGGGTCTCTCTAGGTAACCAAGGCTGGCGTCGAACTCGTGATCTACCAACTGCCTGGCATACGAGTGGAGTGCTGAAGTCACATAAATGCGCCAGCACTCCTGAGTGTCGTAACTCTTAGAAAATCAGTGGCCTAGCTAAAGTCCTAATGAACTTGCTTTCTCTTTCCCACCATCATAAGAACCACTCCTCCTCTAAGTGCTCAAGAACCCTGCCTCGCCCCCAACCGCGGGGCGCTCCGGTCCGCCTTCCTCGCTGCTCCCCGCCCCCCCCCGCCCCCGGCACGCTCACGCAGATGGTTATCTTGAGTACGCCGTGGCTGTAGTCCCGGTACAGCTCCTGGGCCTCCCGGTTGCACTCGATACAGCGGTA